CATCCATCCATCCATCCATCCATCCATCCATCCATCCACTATCTTTTTACCCGCTTCTTCCATTTTGAGTCACGGGGGTCGCCGGTGCCCATGTCCAACAATCCCTGTGCGAGGGGCAGGGGACGGTCTCCAGTCCATCACAGGGACACAGAAACAAACGAGACAAACAACCATTCACTCTCTCACTCACACCTATGGACAATTTAGAGTTACCAGCCTAACGTGCATGTTTTTGGTCTGTGGGAGGAAACCGGAGTACCCGGAGAAAACCCACGCATGCACGGAGAGAACATAATACATGAATCTCCACCCAGAAAGGCCCCCGGACCGGGATTTGAACCGGGGCCCTGCTCACTGAGACTCAGCAGCTCTACCAGTCGTGCCACTGTGCTGCCCTTCTCCCACTTTTATTTAAACTAAATGTAGAAATTAAAACAATAAGTCTAACAAGATGGAGTCAGGGAGGCCTCCGCTCCTGTTTAATGATGGACGGGTTCTCCTCACAAAGATGTTCTCCTTCACTCCTCAAACCATCGTTCCTCTCTATCAAGGATGTGAACATCTTCATCCCTGAAGGATGTGAACATCTTCATCCCTGAAAGAGTGACCGCTGGCCTGGAGATGTTGATCTTCTGTGCTGGTCCATCCTTTTGGCCAGTGGCTGTTTTGTTTCCCTGATGTAAGACTGATCACAACCCTCCTGACACTGAACATCATCATCAACATCTTTATTTATAAAGTGCTTTAACACCAGCCACAGCTGAAACAATGTGCGGAACATCAGTAATAAATAAGATAAAGGAAAGCAAAAAAATAAAGTTACAAAGCTAAGCACACAATTAATTAAAAACTCACTTTAAAACACAATAAAACTATGAGACCCAGGGGTTTCACTACAAAAGGGGGCCAAAATTAAAACCTTTTACAAACTAAGGGCCAATTTCAGAAACTACATTAACTCAAATCATATACCCAACATATTTTCTTGGTCACATGTTCCTCAACAAGAGTTTGATTGGTCTCATTTGATGTTCTCTGTTCTGCTTTCAACATTATAATCAAAGATTACTGAAAAAAATTCAAGAGATAGAAGTATTTTATGTTTCACATATCATCTTGGGGGCCAGATAAGATGTCAATGAAGGCCACATTTGGCCCCCGGGCCTTGAGTTTGACACGTATGACAAAAAAAATGAAGTAAAATCAAGTCTCAGTTGAACTGAAGGCCAATGAGGAGAAACGAGTTTTCAGACGGGTTTTAAACATAGACAGTGAAGGGGCCTGTCGAATGTGTAAAGGCAGAGCATTCCATAATTTAGGGCCACTAACAGAGAAGACCCTGTCTCCTCAAAGCTTCCACTTCCACTTAGGAATGACCAGAAGCAGCTGGTCAGAGGACCTGAGTGAATGAGTGGGAGTGTAGTGGTGGTGAAGCTCTGTTAAATAAGGTGGAGCAAGGCTGTTTAAACCCTTAAAAACAAACAACAGAGTTTTAAAATGAACTCTAAAATACACGGGCAGCCAGTGGAGAGAAGCCAGGACAGGAGTGATGTGCTCTCTTTTACGTGTTCCTGTGAGTAATATTGTGTACATATTTGTGCCAGGGGACTGGATCTTTGGGATGGACCAGTCTTTGCCATAAAAGCCACTGGAACATCATGTTTAGAAAATAAACTGGTTGATCCACTATGAGAAGGTGCTGTTTATAAGACTGAGTTTGTTGCAGCTCCTCAGACTGAAGAAGCATTTTGGATAAAATATGAAACATTTCAACAAGAATAATCTGTTCAGAGGACCTGACTTAACCTTGTTACATTTATCTACCTGGATTATTAAGCAGCATCAGGATATGTTAAACACCAAGATTAAGAATTCATGTAAAACTAAATCACAGCTCACATTTTAACATTACAGTTTAGTCTTAGAGCATTTGTACCTCCACTAGACAGAGTGTCACGTACACTTTTCATCAACCCAGCTTCACGGTCAAGGTTTAAATTCAAGATCAAGGTTAGAACAAGGTTTTCATTTATCCCAGTTTTTGCTGTAGATTGCTATATAATAGTTCATCGACGGGACTCTTGTACAAATGCAGAAGCAACAAGTTGTGAAGCAGCATTACCTTTACTCCGTCTTAGGTTCCCACCAGCGTCATCTTTCCCATGATGCCCCTGGCTCGATGAAGCGCTCTGCTAGCAGCCAGAGGTCTCGCTGGATGGATCAGGGGATTCCAGAGGCCTACGACATTAAAGTGTATGAAATCGACAACATGCAAAGGCTGCAGAAAAGAGCAGGTACTGGCGGCTGGGTTCATTTTGACTCATTCTGGGAGGTTAAAGGTCATGAAAACAAAATGGCAAACAGGAGAAGACGACGTAAACAGTTAATATCTTACTTCTAGATTCTCCAGGTAGTTTAGTGCCGCAGTCTGCACTGGAAGTGCTACAGCTAGCTGCTTCTGCTTCTATTTACAGTTGTAAATAACCACCAAGTTCAGTGTAGCTACTGTAAGTAAAGTAAAATCATATAAAACAGTTCTGTCATTAAAACAATGGACAAACAGCCGTTTGTATAAAATGTAAGTGAAGCTTCAACTCACTGACGTCCTCTCAGCCAAACTCAACATATTGTTGTTGGAAAAACTATAGTTGTTAAAATAAATATAAATTATTTCTATCCAGCAGGTCAACGTGTATGTTTTGCAGCTAAACAGAAGGTTTTTTTTTTTTGTAGTGAAAATAACTGCAAAAATAAAAATAATCACATACAGCTGCATCTCCTTTTACAAGTGCAGTAGGAGGGAAAAAACAAGACAGAGTAACATAAAAAATAAAACAAGGCCACAAATTTATTTGGTGAAAAAACAGAGAAGGTGAAAATACAAAGTGATGAAAGTAAAAACAGAAATTAAAAATAACTGTATAAAACTAACAATAAAAAAATAAATGTATTAAGTTTATTATTTTGAGAGAATAAATAAAAATAAACGTATAACAGTGCAAAATAATTTACATACTTAAAAGCAATACTTAAAAAATACGATAAACAAATACATGATTAATTAATGTGATGTGCTCGTCAAAAGAGGCGAGCGAGCTTCCAGTGAGCTCTGATGGAGAAATACAGCACAAGCTGTTTATATTTACTGTTCTCAATGTTGTTTAGTTTCTGATCTTCAGTGTAAAAACAATAAAAGTGGATGCTGGATGGACTCTTGAATGTGTGTAACATAAAAGCAAAATAAATGTGCTTTTTTAAAATTTATGATTGTAGCTGTCTGTGACTGTCTGTAACTTTTTGTAGCTGTCTGTAGCTGTCTGTGGCTGTCTGTCACTGTCTGTAGCTGTCTGTGGCTGTCTGTAGCTGTCTGTGACTATCTGGAGATGTCTGTGACTGTCTGTGACTGTCTGTGGCTGTATGTGACTGTCTGTGGCTGTCTGTGGCTGTCTGAAGATGTCAGTGGCTCTTTGTGGCTATCTGTAGCTGTCTGTGACTGTCTGAAGATGTCTGTGGCTGTCTGTGACTGTCTGTGGCTGTCTGTAGATGTCTGTGGCTGTCTGTAGATGTCTGTGGCTTTCTGTAGCTGTCTGTGACTGTCTGTGGCTGTCTGAAGATGTCAGTGGCTCTTTGTGGCTATCTGTAGCTGTCTGTGACTGTCTGTGGCTGTCTGTAGATGTCTGTGGCTGTCTGTAGATGTCTGTGGCTGTCTGTAGCTGTCTGTAGCTGTCTGTGACTGTCTGTGACTGTCTGGAGATGTATGTGGCTGTCTGTAGATGTCTGTGGCTTTCTGTAGCTGTCTTTAGCTGTCTGTGACTGTCTGAAGATGTCAGTGGCTCTTTGTGGCTATCTGTAGCTGTCTGTGACTGTCTGTGACAGTCTGTGACTGTCTGTAGCTGTCTGTGGCTGTCTGTAGATGTCTGTGACTGTCTGTGACTGTCTTTAGATGTCTGTGACTGTCTGTGACTGTGTGTAGCTGTCTGTAGCTGTCTGTGACTGTCTGTAGATGTCTGTAGATGTCTGTGGCAGTCTGTAGCTGTCTGTGACTGTCTGTAGATGTCTGTGACTGTCTGTGACTGTGTGTAGCTGTCTGTAGCTGTCTGTGGCAGTCTGTAGCTCTCTGTAGCTGTCTGTGGCGGTCTGTAGCTGTATGTGACTGTCTGTAGATGTCTGTAGCTGTCTGTGACTGTCTGTAGCTGTCTTTGGCTGTCTGTAGCTGTCTGTGACTGTCTGTGTCTGTTCGTAACTGTCTCTAGCTGTCTGTAGCTGTCTGTGACTGTCTGTAGCTGTTTGTGACTGTCTGTGATTGTCTGTGATTGTCTGTGATTGTTGTAGCTGTCTGTGACTGACTGTTACTGTCTGTAACTTTTTGTAGTTGTCTGTTGCTGTCTGTAGCTGTCTGTGACTGTCTGTAGCTGTCTGTGGCTGTCTGTGACTGTCT